GCATCCGAAGAAGTGGGTTGTAGCCCACGAAAGCTTATGCTCTAATAAATTTGTTAGTCTCTAAGGTGCCACAAGTACTCCTGTTCTTTTTGAGGATACAGACTAACACGGCTGCTACCCTGAAACCTGTCATTCTTGGAAAAGGATCCCCAGCTGTGGCAATCCTGAACAAATCTGGACTGTTTTCAGAACACGATAGGAAACCTCCTATTGCACATAGTCCATCCCTCAATTATGAGGCCCCCAGAACACATCATGGTGCTGAGGTGATGGAAGCTTTAAACAAGTAATAACAGCTGGATTAAGTGGAGGACTGTAGACTCCTATACAGGATTTTTTGTGCAACCCTTCCTTCTGTGTTTGGTACTTCGCTACTGTGGTTACGGGTGCCTTTTGGTAGGGTTCAGAGGGAATTAAATTCAGAAGGAATGGTTAATTATCTAAGCAAACTTTAAACCTAAATTAACAATAGCATTTTTATAAATATAGTCACTGATTAATTAGTAAAACAACTGAGAAAGATTTTTCAATTATTTAGCAGAAAAATTATTTTTAGATGTTTTTCCCTCCGTTCAGGAGCAGGCCCCGGTGCATGTAACTCCTTCCTTATTAAGTAATGTGGCACTCATTCCTCTTAAAATCTACACAGAATTATCCCATTCATATCTGGATTAACTGGACAATTGGAAGTCTCCACCTTTTACTGTTATTTTAAGGAAGTACTTACTGTGATAGCAATGCTAGCATAGTGCAAAAAAGGGATGCATCCATGTTAAGGGTCAATAATAAATTTACTGTGATGTTTTCACCATTAGATTTTCTTGTACCATTAATTATATGGCAAGTCAGTCTTGCATACATGGTGGGTGAAGAGCGAGATTTCTATATATTTGTGTTGCTACTTCAGATTTGAAGTTCTAGAGACAAAGATCTGACCAACATACAACTACATGAGTTTTCTTTCTTCATGATGTTGAGTCTCCTGAAATATAGCTCTAAGTATTTCCTTAACAGTCATCCAATAAAACTCTTCTGCCTCAACAAGGACATTAAAAAAGGGGAGTCGCTAAAGGGGAATTCTCGGAGTTATGGAAAGATGAAAACCTGAGGAAGAATTTAGTAAGTAATGGAAGATGAACAAGGAACTTGGTGACTACTTCATTCAATACACACTAAACGTATGGAATAAGTCATCCAGGGGCTAGGTGAAGAAGAAATGGGTAGAGATGAGGTTTAAGAGCCATAGTTTATTTTCCTGCAGAAAAAAGGGATTTGAGTGATTCAGCGAAGAACAAACAAGAGAAACTGGTATTAAACTTACTTAACATGTTTAGGCCAAGTGACATATTGCTCCTAGAATGCTTTATGTTTGCAGCTAACTCATAATAAAAGTAACAAGTAAACCAGGTTTATGGCAAATTAAGTAACAGGAAATTTCACTAACCATTCCATAGCCCATCATTCCTGTTGGTGTTGTAGCAGGATAGGCCATTACAGGCGGTGCCTAACACAGAAAAGAGAGAACACTGAACTGCATGGAAGACTGACTGAGTTGCATACAAGATAATCAATCGCCTTTAAGTGTCAAACGGAGCACTGACTAGACAGCATATTACTAATATAGCAACTGACACCTATTAGCATTTGTAGGTTTCTGTTAAAGTTTATCTGATTTCAGATCAATTGCAATACTTATGCTCAAGGTTTCTAGATAGACTCGACATATGTATAAATTACAGACAAGACCAAATCTGTTAGGATTTTGACTCACAGTAATCTAAAGTTCCACCTAGAGATATCTGAGTCTTCAGTCTAAAGAATGTATAGAGATCTAAAATATGTATGTTTTGTACTTAATAGGAAATTCAGGAAATATTTACATATAATATACACAAATAAAATCAATATGATTATATGACAAAAGTGAATACTGCTCGAGTCCTATGAAGTATAAAACTTACTACTTATTTTACTAAACTGTGCCCAGGTAATTCTAAAAATGGAACCAAATATAAAGGCCAAGTTACTGCGGTTATAGTATCAGAAGCTCTCTCTTTTCCAACCAGGCTACATACACACTAAAGATATTAGGGGGGTCTCCATTACCTTAGCACTGATACAGCTGCGCCAGTCCTAGCAATGGTGGGAGTTCTAATGCTGGCTGGCTTTCAGTGTTTTACCAGCTTGCAGTCTAACCCCATTCATAGTAGGTCTAGGTGACATGGTAACACAGTTCAATGCTGGTCACTGGTGGAGTTGCACCTGTGCTAGAGCAATGATAAGAGGTAGCCCTAAAATCCCAGTGCAGACATTGCCCACAGTATTTACAAGTGGGTACAGAACATTGACCTGCTACTCTAAAATGAGTTTCTTTTCAATTGTTAGGAATAGCCTAGTTATTACAATGAATTAAAACATGGTAAATGACTACCAATACCATTCAGTCTATATAAATTAACATCATTACATGACAGCTACTGTGAAGTGGAAGAATGAGACTGGCATCCCTGCTCTAGGCTTTATCTGTGTCAACAGTAAACTGATAATATATCCCCTACTGTTTAAAAAATGCAATGCATATATGAAGACCCTCTGATACCTCTTAGAAAGCAGGAGGCGGCAAAAGATATATTCTGTTTAAAAGCAATTCTGCCTCCTTATATATTCCTTCGTCTTTCCACGCCCCTGACCCTATTTATTAGGGCAGATTTTGGCATGGAGACAAGAACTTTGTCTAAGAACATTATCTAGCTGAGTTCTTATCAAGTACCAATAGACTGTGATATCTAGGGATCTTTATCTGCTCCACCTTCTGTTAATCCCTCAGTTGCAATTAATAATGCTCCGCTTGTGACATCCCAGTTCTTCGCTGTGTAAATTATAATTCATGACACTTCGGAAGATTGAACCAGACAAACTCCAAGATCACGCTTTCATGCATGTCTCTTGTATTACAAAGATTTTATTTGGGAAGAGACTCTCAAGGAAAGTGGTGGAGTAATTGTTACTTGTGACATTCAGAACTACACTGGAGAAAGAAGATATGTTGTAGGGAACAATATTCCACAGGCAGGTAATTTCACCCTCACAATCCAACCCCAGAAGTGTGATATAAGGAGGACTATTTCTGAATAGAACATTAATTTTTTGAGGTATCAGCTGCTCTTTAATATGCACTAGCCAATGGTAATTAGCATTCTAGCAGCTATTAGAACAAGTTTCAGTGTATAAAGAATTACCTAGATTGTACAGTAACTATCTAAATATTATTCAGTTCAAAAAGCTTTGAACATTCTTTAAATCATTCACATTATATGTATGTGTACACATACATATACACACAAATGCTGGCGATTATATATTTTTTTAAGAGTGCTCCAGTACAGATTTTACATCCTCCACTGTTAAAATTATCCCATAATGAAAACTGAATACAGGGAAAGACCAATATTGTTGAAATACAAAAAGATTATCTGTGAGTAAGACTGCATTCCTCCAAGAAAACAATGCACAAGTTATGGCTTGCCCTTTATAAACTTAATCATGAGCTGGGATTTTCTCTTAGTTTATTTGAGCATAAATGACATATTGGTCTCTCCCTACTTGAAAACAAGATCTACAATAAAAGTGAATAAAGTGCCAATTATAACAGAAGCCTGTGAGATTTCATGCAATTATTCAAACACACACAACTTATCTTCATTCAAACTTTACCAGATGCATTAAAGGCAGCACAGACACAGACCCAGCTATCTGCAGCAAATGGCAGTTTTAAGCAAGGAAAAAAAATCTCAGTATTTCCCATGCCATCATTCGAGTCAAGAGCCTGCAAAACACCCATGAGATTTGTATATGCTAAGAAAAGCTCAAATCTTCTGCACACCAAAGATCTTAATATGAGAAATGTGGAATAGCAGGAAGGTTATGAGATTCTGCTACAGCAGTGGTTAATATAGCATGCCAATTGATTGCAAAAAGGCTGTTGGGTTTTTTTTCACTTACGTATTGTGGAAAATGCATGCCATTCTGTATTTCCCAGGGAGAACAATTACATAATGCAATAATACTGGATTAGAAACACGTACTTACATAACAGAATATACACAGATAGCATTTTAGTTCACAAATATACTTAATGTCTGCCCTAAAATAAAAATTCTTGTAATTCAAGTCATTGAATAAATCTTTTTAAGTGACACTGTCAAGGTTGATGGGTTTCATACCTGTCTGTATAATCCATTTATTTTTGTGTGCACTTATTTTCCAAAAACATAAGCTTTTGAAAACAAGGAAGAATATCAAGCAGCAGCACAGCGCTTAGAATCAACAATACAATAAATAGACTAATGGACAAAGTGGAGAAGAATTTGATGAACAAACCAATTTCCTCCTCCTAAGTTTTTTCAAACAATTTAATAGTGAGTAAAAAGTTTTGTATAAAACAAGATGCCTTGACAGTGTCTTTAAAAATTAATAAAAGAACTGGTTAGAAATGGAATGATAGGCTACAAGATGCATATAAAGATATTGTATATTTTGCTATGACAACAATTTAGTATTTTCAAGCACATGAGAAATATCCAACTGCTAGCAAGTCATTCAGGTAGTAGGTGAGTACTACAGAAACTGTAATATCCACAACCACTTTCACCTGCATACAAGATCTGAGTTGGCAGCTGCCACCCAAAATGAGAGCAGGTAGATGACCTGAAGAGAGATATTGTTTCTCTTTCCAAATCTGTAACAAATCATGTGTTTCATTGTTAAATCACAAAATCATTTAATACCGTTTGATATAATAGCTCAAAACACTTGTTTTGTTAGGTTTCCTACACTCGTATACTATTCTCCAGTTTGTGGTAAAAGGGAGAGTAGAATTTACACATGTAGGTCCCACCAGCATAACTGGGAGCTACTCAAGTATATCCTTCCCTCCCTCTCTCAACACATACATTAATGGATGGGAGAACAAACCACTTTGGTAAAAACACGTGATCCACAAGACATGCTAGCTGTAATGGAGTTGTAAGCTAGAGAAAAATCAGATCGGTCACTGAAGGTGTTAAGTGGAGACGTATTAAAAGCAAGCACACACTTCAGAGTGTGACTGTACTACACCTCTACGCCGATATAACGCTGTCCTTGGGAGCCAAAAAAATCTTACCGCGTTATATCCAACTGTGTTATAGCCGAATTCGTGTTATATCGGGTCGCGTTATATCGGGGTAGAGGCGTAGTTGTACACATTTCTGAGGCACCTATCCCTATATCATCACTTCCCGCACCCTCAGGTAGCAGAAGATGCACTACTTCCTGCCTCAAGTCACAGAGCAGGCTCAGTGTTGTGACATACAGCAGTGGTTCTTAGACAGTTTGTGGAGCCCCAGGCTAAGGGGTCCACGAAAGGTAGTGGTTACCACAGAACAGTGGTTTTCAACCTAGCGGTCTGCAGACTTGTCTAAGATTTTCAGTGGGGTCCACACGCTGCCATTTGAAAAGGTTTAAAACCAATGACATACAGCTTCACCACACAGGATTATATTTCCACACTTCCAAACAGCATTCAGAATGAAGAGTAGCCCCTACCACTATTTCCAAAAAGTCAAGTTACCCTACTCAAATAATTACTAAGGGTTTGATGTTCTACAACCTAAGTTTCTGCCCTAGCCATACTTTTAGTTTACAATATAAATTCACACTCACGCTACAGAATAAGTCATATGTAAGTCTGAGTCTGCCACGGAGATCATGGAAGACAGCCAGCAGGTACGACTGACTCCAGGGCTGCTGGAGCATCTTGGGCGGTCCTGGGCCCCCCCCCAGCACCAGTGGCAGCGGTCCTGGACTGCCGCCCCTGGAGCATGCACGGGGGCTCCAGGGCCCATCCCAGTACCAGCAGGTACCCTGGAGCCCCCACTCCAGAGCAGGGCGTGTCCCAGAGTCCCCCTGCCCTCCTGACCAGCCGGCGACCCCCCCTCCAGAGCAGCAGTTGTGCCCCTAGAGCCCCCCCAGAACACTCAAGATTTAGTCAGGAGTATATAGTACAAGTCATGGATACGTCACAGGGCTGTGAATTTTTATTTATTGCCTGTGACCTGTCCATGACTTTTACTAAAATTACCCATGGCTAAATCTTAGCCTTAGTCATATGCAATGAAACAGCGTATCTGATAATAATCTAAATGAAGTTGGCCATCCAGTTACTGTTACTATAGCAATATACATTCTCGAACTGACCATTTATGATTCAAATAATCTTCAAAACCTATCCACTGTAATGACTCATCACCTCCACACCTTTATATTGCATGTTTGCCTATATTTTAAGTTACATAGATTCACTACTTCAGAATCTTCATTCACTTACAATTGTTGGAGCATTCCATGCAGTTGTGGGTGCAACCTTGGGCTGCCAGTTGGAACCACCAGTTAATTTCTTTTCGCCTGGCTGAGTCCAATTTACATCACTTCAAATAAATTTTTAGAAAACATTAGAAAACAGAT